CCTTCCCTCCCTCCCTCCCTCCTTCCTCCTTCCTTCCTTCCTTCCTTCCCTCCCTCCCTCCCTCCTTCCTCCTTCCTTCCTTCCTTCCTTCCCTCCCTCCCTCCCTCCTTCCTCCTTCCTTCCTTCCTTCCTTCCCTCCCTCCCTCCCTCCTTCCTCCTTCCTTCCTTCCTTCCTTCCCTCCCTCCCTCCCTCCTTCCTCCTTCCTTCCTTCCTTCCTTCCCTCCCTCCCTCCCTCCTTCCTCCTTCCTTCCTTCCTTCCTTCCCTCCCTCCCTCCCTCCTTCCTCCTTCCTTCCTTCCTTCCTTCCCTCCCTCCCTCCCTCCTTCCTCCTTCCTTCCTTCCTTCCTTCCCTCCCTCCCTCCCTCCTTCCTCCTTCCTTCCTTCCTTCCTTCCCTCCCTCCCTCCCTCCTTCCTCCTTCCTTCCTTCCTTCCTTCCCTCCCTCCCTCCCTCCTTCCTCCTTCCTTCCTTCCTTCCTTCCCTCCCTCCCTCCCTCCTTCCTCCTTCCTTCCTTCCTTCCTTCCCTCCCTCCCTCCCTCCTTCCTCCTTCCTTCCTTCCTTCCTTCCTTCCTTCCTTCCTTCCTTCCTTCCTTCCTTCCGTCCTTTCTTTCTTTGCTCTGACTTATGAGTGAGGACATGTGGTATTTCTCTTTATGTGTCTGGCTTACTTCATTTAACACAGTTTCCTCCAAGCTCATCCATGTTGCTGCAAATGGCAGAATTTCATTCTTTTTTATGGCTGAGTAGTATTCCATTGTGCGTATACAACACATTTACCTTATCCAGTCATCTGTTGATGGACATTTATGTTGGTTCCATATCTTGGTATTGTAAATAGAGCTGCAACGAACATGGGGTGCAGGTATCCCTTGGACATGATGGTTTCCATTCCTTTGGGTATATACCCAGCAGCAGGATTGTTGGATTATATGGCAATTCTATCTGTAGTCGTTTGAGAAACCTCCATACTGTTTTCCATAAGGTTCATCAAAGTCAGAAGTTTTAAAAAAAGACAAAAAGGAAAAAAAAAAAACAAAGTCAGAAGTTTTGCTCAACATCACAGCTAATAAGTAACAGAACTAGGATTTGAACTCAGTTCTCAAAGACTCCAAAGCCACTATTGTTACACACACTGCCTACCAAATTTAAAACAAGGATGCCAGGGGCCGGCCCGGTGGCGCACTGCTACAGTGCGCCGCTTGGGAGTGCGGTGGCGCTCCTGCCGAGGGTTCGGATCCCACATACAGACCGGTTCCCGCTCACTGTTCCTTCCTTCCTTCCTTCCTTCCTTCCTTCCTTCCTTCCTTCCTTCCTTCCTTCCTTCCTTCCTTCCTTCCTTCCTTCCTTCCGTCCTTTCTTTCTTTGCTCTGACTTATGAGTGAGGACATGTGGTATTTCTCTTTATGTGTCTGGCTTACTTCATTTAACACAGTTTCCTCCAAGCTCATCCATGTTGCTGCAAATGGCAGAATTTCATTCTTTTTTATGGCTGAGTAGTATTCCATTGTGCGTATACAACACATTTACCTTATCCAGTCATCTGTTGATGGACATTTATGTTGGTTCCATATCTTGGTATTGTAAATAGAGCTGCAACGAACATGGGGTGCAGGTATCCCTTGGACATGATGGTTTCCATTCCTTTGGGTATATACCCAGCAGCAGGATTGTTGGATTATATGGCAATTCTATCTGTAGTCGTTTGAGAAACCTCCATACTGTTTTCCATAAGGTTCATCAAAGTCAGAAGTTTTAAAAAAAGACAAAAAGGAAAAAAAAAAAACAAAGTCAGAAGTTTTGCTCAACATCACAGCTAATAAGTAACAGAACTAGGATTTGAACTCAGTTCTCAAAGACTCCAAAGCCACTATTGTTACACACACTGCCTACCAAATTTAAAACAAGGATGCCAGGGGCCGGCCCGGTGGCGCACTGCTACAGTGCGCCGCTTGGGAGTGCGGTGGCGCTCCTGCCGAGGGTTCGGATCCCACATACAGACCGGTTCCCGCTCACTGGCTGAGTGAGGTGTGGGAGCAACACCGAGGGTTGCGATCCCGTTTCCGGTCCCGGTCCGGTACGGGCGCGACACTGAGGGTTGCGGTCCGTTGCCGGTCACGAAAAAAAAAAAAAAAAAAAGGGAAAAAAAAATAAAAAAAACAAGGATGCCAATAGCGGGCTTTGTTTTTTGAACACTCCATTGACTGCGTGGTGCTTTGGTGAATCCTGGCTTGTTCGGGAAGCACTCCAGGCAGGGTCCCAGCATCAACAGAGGCCCTGAGGTGGGGAGTGGGGTGTAAGGAATTCCAGATGGCAGGACTTATTGGTTAGGGTCAGATTAGGGACAGACTGTGAATCAAGGCAAGGGACTTTAGACTGTCCTGGAGCAATGAGGGCGGCCATGTGGTCACTAAAATTCATCAGGAACAGTGTGTAAGATGGGCAGGAGGGGATCCGGATGGAGGAGACCACATGCGAGTCAGTGTAGCTGGAGCGAGCTTGAAGGCAGGGCCTGAGGGACAGAGGGGCCTTGGTAGATGGGGGTGACATTCCGGAGGAACTGCTGAAGGACTTTGTGGGGGATGGGAAAGGGAAGCACCACAAAAGACGTGGAGAGTTTGAGCTTAGGTGATCGGGATGGGCAGGGAGCTAAGAATGCAAGAAGGAGGACTTGGGAAGGAAGGGATGGAAGGCTCTTCTGGCAGAAATGCCCAACAGACTGCTGGAAATTGGGTCTGGGAGTTCAGGGAAGAGTCAGAGCAGGAGGCATGAGAGTCATTTGCAGGGAGACTGTGGTCAGAACCATTAGTTTAGGTGAGGCTGCCAAGGGGCCGAAAAGAGAATTAAGTCCAGGGCTTTGGAAAGCGGGGGTGGAGGCCAGTGGTTCTCGAACTTTGTTGTATGGTGGAATCTGCAAAGCAAGAAGGCGGATTCAGAACTCAGAGACCCAAGTGCGCTGAAGCTGCGCCTTTCTGTGCCCTGGGGGGAGGGAGCGTTTTTGTGGGTTTATCAAGTCCCAAGTGATTCTGAGACCCACCAAAGTATAACAACCATGGGCTTCAGCCAAGACAGCAGCTTTAGAAATACTGATGTCTGGGTCCCACGCACCCCAAAAGATTCTGACCTCGGGGAATGTTAAAGGTTCCCCTAAAGTGCAGCCAGGTCGAGGGGCTCCAGGTGGAAGGAGAGGTAATGACATGAGGGGATTTGAGGAATCACAGTCAATGTGGTGGAAGAGCAGGTGGCTTAGGACGTGGGGGGAGGGGACAGTTGGGCCATGGGGAAACTAAGGCCTGTAAGTCAGGGATCTGAAACCTTACCACCCATAGGAATGGCTGGCACGGCGAGCACAGGTCCAGGCTCAGCACAGTGATGGGTTAGAGGATGGGGTGATAGACATGGTGTCCCCCTGCCCCACCCCCCATACCAATGAAATCAGAAGCTTTGGGGCTGGGACTGCCATCAGCATTTTTTTACTCTGCAGGTGATTCTGACACGCAGCTGAGTTTGGGACAAGTAGTGCTTCTCACAGTTGAATATGGACACACTTTACCAGGCATCTTGCTCAAATGCTGTTTCTGATCCAGTGGATCTGGGGTGGGGCCTGACACTCTGCATTTCCAGCAGGTACTCATGCTGCCGTCCCATGTTCCACACCTGGAGTAGCAAGGATGTCACTGATTTTCAAGGGTTGTGGTGAAGCACAAATACTCCTTCCCAAACCAATCTCCAAGCCTTGGAATCAGTCCCTCCCCCACCCCAGCAGGCAGGCAACCCGGAGAGTTTCCTATCTGTGTCTCCTCTGCTCTCCACTTTCCTCCTGGCTGCAGAACATCAGAGCCAGGATAAATGTTCCCTTCTTGATCT